AAAAAAAAAAAAAAACAAACAAACAAACAAGCAAAACAAAACGCATCATGTTCATGATCGTGACACGAGTAGGGTGAGCATTCAAAACTAAATTGAAAAATAAAAAAAACGTGCCAAACCTTGGTTTTTTTATGTAAAAAGTTTTTTATCAATATCTTCCTACATTTGAGATGCGTTTATAGTATTTTTTATAGGTCTGGTTTTCGGTTTTGTTCTGTTTGGTGTGGTTTTGCACATCGAAAAGTTTAGATAATACTGAAAACCGATTCAAACCCTGCATTTCGGTGAGGTTTGTGGTTAAGTTATCTTAGTGTAACAAAAAAGAATAATGCTACTTGTACGATTGTACCTCATGGTGTACTATTTGGTTTACATTCAAGGGGTACATGTACTCATTTACCCTTAATGAATAATTTAGTAAATTATTCATTAAGGGTAAATGGGTACATGTACCCCTTGGAGGTAAACCAAGTGGTACACCAAGGATTACATGTAGCATGATCCAACAAAAAATTAGTTCGGTTTCGATTCAATTTCCATTGAAATTACTAGTAAGATATCCTTACTTGTATTAAACGGGTAATTAAAAAAATTAAACAATAAAAAAAAGTACAAATGAATTCATATTTTTATTACGAAATAATAATAATAATAATAATAATAATAATAATAATAATAATAATAATAATAATAATAATAATAATAATAATAATAATAATAATAAGAAAGCATAAAGAAATCAAATAAATAATAAAAAAGCATTGTTTATCTTAAAAAAGCAAAGAGGCAACGAGCAAACCCTTTTTTCTTGGGTGATAGAATAATAATAATAAATAAAAAAGTTGTATTCATTCAAAATAGCACCGCCATTTTACACTCAATTTGTCAAAAAATTGTAGTTTTTTAATATATCTATAAAACTCCAAATTTCTAAAAATATATTATTGAAAATTCCACAAATTTATTAATTTTTAAATCAAAATTTATCGTATTATGATTATTTTTTCTGTTCAGTGTTCTAGAAGTCGCTAGGCGCCAGCTAGGCGCCCGACCAGCGCCTACCGCCTAGAGCGCCTAGTCGGGGCCTAGGCGGCGCCTAGGCGGGGCCTAGAAATTATAATAAATATATTAATTTTTATTTATTTTACAATTTCACTAATGAAATTATAACTTATAATTAATAAATCCATACACCTAAGTCCCAATAATATTATTAATATTATATTATAAAAAAAACTCCAAGTCAAAATAAGTACATAACCACAATATAACTTCTTCTCATTGTAATTTTATCAAACACATTATCTACATGTTATGTTTTAAATATTACACAACATAAGATAAATATAAAAAATTATAAAATAATATATTATAAGATTTATTATTTAAACTAAATGCATTTAGTATTAAAAAAAAAATTGTAAAAACCGCCTAGAACCCGCCTCGGCCGCCTAGAACCCGTCTCAGCCGTCTAGTCCCGCCGAAACCACGTAGCCGCCGAGGCCGCCTAGTTCCGCCTAGGTCCGACTAGGCGCCGCCGAGCCCGCCCGATTGATTTTTATGGCCGATTTGACCAAATCGTAGGCGTTGTACCGGCGCCTAGGCGGCCGCCTAGGCCGACTTTTCGAACACTGTTTCTGTTTATAGAGTTGTGTCTTTCTGTATCTCAAATTTGTTTTCTAGAAATTGCCATCTGGCGAGCCGATTCACGACGAGGCCTCAAAACTTCAGCCCAAAACCGACTCAAATGTAGGTACGAGTCTGTTCACAGGCCCAACGGTTTCGGGCCGGGTCGGTCAAATGGCAGATTCGGGACGACCGGTTCATAGGAAAAAAAAATTGAATGTCTTCAAGGACCGGTTTTGGCTCGGACCGACCCAGCCCACCTGGTCAAAAAATTTATATAGAAGGCCCGAAACCGGCCGGGTCAAACTACGGGCTCGGGTCTGGGCCCATTGACCATGGGCCGGTTCAAGGCCGTGTCCGGGTCTGGGCCGGCACGGCTCATGGCCGTGTGTGTTTTCAATGCATATAAACTAGCCATGATGCGAGAACGCGAGTACCCTATTTGATGCTATTTTTAATTGTGTATGATGCTATTTTTAATATTACATGGTGCTATTTGTGTTGCTATTTTTAATCAAATACATCCTGATTAAAAATAGAATTAAAACACAGTAAATCATAACATACGTACAATTTAAAATAGTGGTTCTCACGCTAGCACTTGGTTTTCATTTGAACCATATATAAGATGTGGTTCAAACAAGAACCAAGTGCTAGCGTGAGAACCGCTATTTTAATTGTACATATGGTGCTATGATTAATTGTATTTTAATGCTATTTTTAACCCTTTATTTTATTAAAAATAGCAATATATATATA